AAGCCCTTGATGCCCAAATCGGCAGTTGCAAAAGCAACAAGATGACACCGCCTCACTCCGGATGGCATGCTGGAGATTCGGGAAGCAGAAACAAGTACATCCACGGTACGCCTGGTCCGAGCTGCTAGAACGAACGAGTGAGACTCCGAGATTCAAGTCAACAGTCTGGCGAAGCATAAAGGAGCAATCAAGCGCGACTTCCTGATGATGGTATCCGTCGCTTGACAACCATTCCCGCTACCATCATGACGACAACCGTTGCTTCTGCAGTGGCTCGTCTCCCATTGACCGATGGCCTCGTGAGATCTGGAGCACATGGTGTCTCTCCGATTCAACCCGATATTTTGGATGTTGAGCTGGCGGCTGGCTGTTACAGTTTCATGCTTTCCAGTCTTGTTGCCGCCCTGCTGCTGCTGCTGCCACTCTATTGCTGTGGAAATGGAGGCTTCTATTGCTAGTACTAGAAGACGACGAAAGCCAGGTAGTAGTAGTAGTAGTAGCAGTAGGAGAAAGATAGTAGTGTTCGCAGAATAAAGCACTAGTATTAGTAGTCGTAACTGTAGTTGTAGTGGTAGTAGTAGTGGCAGTGATAGTGGTAGTAGTAGCAGTAGTAGCAGTAGTAGCAGCAGGAGCAGTAGTAGCAGTAGCAGTCGTAGCAGTAGTAGTGGTGGTCGTATTGGTAGTAATAGAAGGAGTAGCAGTAGCAGCAAAAAGCAGCAGCAGCAGCAGGAGGAGCAGGAGGAGCAGGAGCAGTAGTAGCAGTAGCTAGTAGAGAGTTGGCAGTAGGTAGTGGGTAATGGGTAGTAGCACTAGTACTAGTTGTAGCTGTTGTTGTTGTTGGTAGTAAGTAGTAGGTATTTGGTTGTGGGTAGTGGGTCGTGGGCTGTGGGTAGTAGTAGCAGTAGTACTAGTAGTACTAGTAGTACTAGTAGTAGTAGTAGTAGTAGTAGTAGTAGTAGTAGTAGTCGCCGTTGTGGTTGTGGTGGTGGTAGTGGTAGTAGGTAGTAGCAGGTAGCTGCAGGTAGTAGCAGGTAGTAGTAGTGTGGGTTGTAGTGGTGGTAGTCGTAATCGGAGGAAGAGGAGGGCGATGAGTAGCAGTAACTGCTGCTGTTGTTGTACCTGTAGCGGGAGTAGTCGTCGTTGGTGTTGCACTTGTAGCGGTGTAGTTGTTGATTGAGTTCGTCGACTGAAGACGTGCGCCGAGGCAATTGCGAGAAGTGTCGCACCCATGGAAGCCACGAAAAGGGATGTTGAAGCCATGAGTCGGGCCTGGAAGATGCACCAGTATCAAAACAATGTGTGGCAACACCTCATTAGTATTGTCAAGTACTATGCCAAAGCCACCACGGTTGGTGGACAAGCCTTCCAAGAAAGGATCTGGCTTCTAATGATATGTATATGCACATATATGTGGGCAAGCATCTTTCACGCAAAGGTTCATCACTGAAACGCTCGACATGGAAAGGCACCTTATCGAGTTCTGGCAGATGTGGTGATGCGCATCGTCTACAAGAACAACTTGTTCATCAGCAGGATGATTCTTTGCTTGCCTTGGCTTGACAGCTCCCTACAGACGCCTGTTCTTCCGGTCTGAAGACTCCACCTGGCATGACCTTTGTGAAGGTAATGGTGGCCAGTGGTCACACGTCCATTCAGGTGAGACTGCAAACATCGAAGCTAACAAGTGTTTGAAAACTAACGAGATCATGTCATCGTACCACACTCCAAATTCAAAACCATTCTCAGTATTTCCTACGCAGTCTATGATGCGCTTGCGGCGACTTGCAGCCCGCCTGATCTGCCAATGTCTGCTTGGCAAAGTCCAACTCGCCAAAGCCCAACCTGCACTGGCTGATAGTGTATATGCTATAATATAATACTGCATGTTACTTATCAAATATCAAAGCGTATAATGATGCACTACACTATGATATGTCATCGCATGTTGCAGGATCTTGTCATGGCTTTTGCCAGACCTTGCTTTGAAGACGTGGCGTGCTCGAAATCGGTGCCTCGCCTGCGCTTTTTTGCGGAGTCCCTAAGCCAGTCCAACACCTCCTCCCGGTTGCGCAAGGACCTTAGCCGGCCGGATGCCTTTGTCTTTCCCGGCACCTCGTTTCTTCTGCGTGTATCGGGGACACCAAATCAAGTCTGAGCGGATCTATCTGAAGCTGAGGGCTTGGCCTGCGCTCACGCCTAGGTAGAGCTTGCTTGCTTGCTCTCGAGACAAGGAACAGCCAAACACAAGCAAACACAACGTACGCTACATCCTTGTCCCCTTCTCAAAAACGTTGAGCCGAGGACTTGATGGCTGCTAGGAGGATGGGCTCTGCACTCGGGCGGCTCCTTGGATGTCTCTACACCCTTTGGCTGTCTGAATATGAACCAATGAGCATTCCCTAGAAGACTCTAGTCTGCGTCTGTAAGCCATGCTGCATTGACATGTCAGTGGTTCCAGATAGGAACCTTCCGAGGCTGGCACGAGACTTTGAGCCTCGCGAGGGAGTGGACCTCAGAGTATTGCGTGAACCCCAGCGATTCGGCCTGCTCTCTGGAATCGCAACTGAAGGTTCAAGGGTTGGAGTCGTTGTGGTCGGTGGCATGTCTTGGAGGCAGCGCGCATTTTCACGAAGGCAGTGGCGTGGCAGGCGCCACTGTGTCCGCCCTAAGACCTAGGCATCCTATTGTTTTCGCTGTCCGACGGGTTGAAAAAGTACGTAGGAACCTCACACGAAAGGCCAAGGCTTGCCGGTAATGACGGCCTGGGTGACAATGCCACTGAAGGCAAACATGGCAAGGCGTCCGTTCTCCAGTTCCTTCAGGCGCATGTCCTTTTCCTTTTCGGGCTCCTTTGGCCTTAGCTTCTGTAGATGACGCGAAGGACAGGAAGTCTCATAACTCACAGCTTCAAAATAAAGAAGTAAAGCTGTCAAAGAGTCTTGACATCACTAACATCTCCGAAGGGCAGGAACTGCTTGCCGAGCCAATAGTCCCCTGCCTCGCGGTTGATGCCATCCCCAATGGGCCAGGACTGGAAGAACAGCCAAAGGGAGAAGAGCTCGAAAATGCCGACGGCACCCAGGAAAGGCAGCATGTAGCCAGCCTCCACCATCTTGTCGTGGGCCTCGACACTGTTGGCAACACTCTGGAACTTCTCGCCGGGGAATCTTGCGCCGAGGTCGGTGGCAATCCATCCAACTGTGGCGAGCATACAGACACGCCCATGCTTGAGCTCGGCCTCTCGCACCCAGTAGACTGGCAGCGCATCCGTCACCCCGAGAGGGTCGAAACCTTTCTCTCCCCCAACCCAACCTTTGAGCACCTGCGGATACCTGAGGAAGGGCACAGAAGGAGACATCTCCATTTCCTTCGGGTAGGTCTCGTTCTCAACGAAGACACCCTCGGAGAGTTTCTGCACGGCCTGCATGCTGGTTCGGCCCCGAGGAAGGGCGCACAGGCCTCCATTGTCCACATAGCTGCCGCTGTAGGACTGGCAATTCGCAATGTGCGAAACGATGTACTGCACCGGCTCACCCCAGAAGCCGTACTTGTTCATGTAGCTCAGCGGAGCCTCGCCGAAAGTCCCATCTTGCCACATGAGGCCAAGGATAGCAACCATTGCAAGGCGGCCGTTGTTGCGCTCGGAGGTCTGCTTGCGCTCCAGCTCCTCATCGTCGATGCCATCCAAGAGCTCCGTGCCCAAGCCAAAGTCAAAGCTACCGAGGCCTCCCTCGCGAGGCTTCACGAGGACCTCGTGAGCACCCACCAGAGCGAAGAGCTGCACCCAGCCCTCGACGGGGATGCTCTCCAGCGCGGCTAAGCCGTGCTTGAAGTCTTCGCATCCTGGGAAGCGAAAGATCTCCGGCATTATGTAGCCAACGACGGCAATCATGGCAACCCTGCCGTGCTTAATCTCGACGGCTGTGTATCGCTCCAACTTTGCATCCGTGCTGCCAAGGTTCAGCGGGTCGAACTTGTCTGTCAAAGGCAGGCAAACCCCGACGACCTTGCGCTCAACCCGACGCTGGATTGGCCGGGACAGTGCCGTGGCACCGGCCACAGCCAGAGTTGCCGCGGCGGCAAGACCTGTGGAGGCAGAGCTCGAGCGAGAGCTGGCCTGAACCTGAAGGCTTGCAGGCTCGCTGCCTGGGGCCGGGGACCCTGAGCCGCCCCTCAGGCTCTGACCCTGACCGGCTGGCACAAAGGCCATTGCTGGGGCCGCGCAGGCCGCCAGGGCTGCCGCCGACATCATGGTGCTTGGGGCCATGGTGTTGAAAGAACAAGGTCGGTTCCTCCCCAAGCCAAGATGTGCTGAGTGTCCAGACATTTCCCAAACAGACCGAGAGACATGTTACTGTTAGTTGTCATGTTGACCTAAGACCCAGCTGTGACGGAAGAACACAATTCCAGCCTGATTTTTGCTTGCGCTGCTTCCATGAGGCACATCACGAGTCGAACCGCCTTGCTTCGCAACGGACGATAGACATGTCGTCATAGCCTCATACAAGGACCAAGGGCGGCATCCCAGGAGTGGTGCGTGCTGTAGACTTGAACCACGTCGGGGAAGCAGACACGAAGGTAACAGCCTTGCTCGGGCTCCAATTACTCAGCACGCTGACACCCGCTCACCTTGTGAGTCGGCATATCCTAGGGGCCACCGATGGAGATAACGATCGAATAATTACACTTGCACACCCGAGGAAGGGCGTGCAACATAAAAGTCCGTGGGCTGTACACGCCTACTTCAAGCGCCTATCTACGGGAGCTCCCGTGCTCTCGCGCGGAAGCACCTGCACGTGAACGTCCTAATGACGGCGTAGAATTGTGAAGGCAGTAATTTTTCATTATGCCTGGTGCGTTCGCGCGGAAGCACCGGACAAGCATAGCCGAATGATGCCGGAGTTATCCTGAGCTGCTAGCTACTGTCAGCTTGATGTCGTCTTGCCCCGAAGCTCCAGCACCCAGCATCGGTTGTGCTTCATTCTGTTTCTGCGGAACGACCAATGGTCTCGCCCGCCTGTTGGGCTACGATTTCCAACTGATCACGCGGGCACCATCCAACGACACTGCAGAAGCAGCACGTCACCTGAGCATTCCTGATAGCTCTAAGCTCGAAAGCCTATTTGGCTAGTGCCAGTCTTGCACCACACATGTACCGAAGTATGCTGCTTGGTGGCAAGGCCAAAGACGGCAAAGATCGGCGAGAATACCAATCCAGCAGAATAGCTGCCGCCTCATGAAACTCAGGTAGCCTTTCGATGAACCTGTGTTAAACATTCCCCCCGCATGAATGGACAGCAAGATCACCTACTGACCTACTGCAGGCGGTCTCTTGCTTTCTAGCGTCCATCCAGCTTGCCGACGGCCAGGAGAACCATGGTCAACCATGCAGCCACACTCAGGCTGGTGGCTACCATTGCAGGACCTGTCAAGCATCGAGCGGCAGCCAAATATCTCCGTTCCTTCCCTCCGTTGGGATCTGTCAAACCCTCAAGCAAGTCTGAAAGCTTCAATGCTTCTGAAGAAACATCGCTCACGAAACCGGCAGCAACACGCAACCATGTTGTAACACCCGAAAGCAGTTTCCTGAACACGGAGTTTGCACGGCCACCGCCAGTCCATCCTTCGACATGCTTCAGCATTCTTATAACTCCAAAACCCATGTCATGGCCAGACCCGCAACCCGGAACCCAGGGTCACCTGAGTTCGGTTGTGGCGAGGAGCCGCAAGCGTCCTTGGCTTCTGGCCCACAGCGACGAACCGAATGCTTATCGAAACACGTGCATGCTTCTTCTGAACAAGCATGGAGTTTAGAGGTACGAGTATGTGTATGAGTGTATGAGCACCGGGAACAGCGTGAAGAAGCACGTATGCAACTGGCAGGACATAAGCATAACTTTAGCCACGAAAGAATCTGGAGGGGGTTACCAACGCACAAAAGGGATCCGGAACCAGGGCATCGTCTGCGGCGCAAGATTGGGCTGTCTCATGCCGCTTTTTCTCTTGAGTCGATGGCTTCTATGCTCGCAGGGGAGCTGGGGGTCGCCATGGACTGGGCTTCGACCCGGAACTTGCACTCAGGCAAGCAGGCGAGGATCGGGCCAAGCCTTCGGGCCTTCGGGAAGCAAGCTCCCAGGCCCAAATCCAGAGTAGCAGTACCACAACTGATCAGCAACGACTGCTACCCACAATCATGAGCCCGGAGCTACCTCGCAGTCGGTCTTCTTGGGCCCTAGACCACTGACTCGAGGACGGACACAGGTGAAGCAAGGTTCCACTGCTGCTTTGATGATACTGAAGGCGGCAGCCACGTACAGCGGCACGGGGGCGATCCACCTCACTTCGTGGCACTTCAAGGAGGTTTCTCGAAGATACTCGCTAAATTCGCTAACCTGCGTTACAGACTGGCACCTGATGTTGGTCACCTCTTTCTCTGGTGCTCTTGGCTCGTCTGCACCGTGGGTTTCTCAAGTTTCATGGTCAGTCTCGCTGCTCATGTGCCACACGCCAAGCTGCCACGACGTGTTGCCAGAATCAGCGCACTCTGCAAGCAGCAGGACGGCCTCGATTGCGGACATAGCATGCAGCAGAGTGGGTTGTTGGAGCTTGTTTGTTGACATGCTGTAAAGGCGCATCTGGAAATGCTACTCTAGACATCTCTACACGCAGCCCGTCACTGCTCGACTGCTCGAGCTGTCGCGCATGTCTCGCACTGCAATTTGTACTTGGTTACCTCCCTGTTCATGTGATGAGGAGATGTGCAAAGGCCGCGGCAACGAGCCGCATCGCACCCAGTTGCACAAAGCCTCGTCTGCTCATGAACCAAGGTGACACTGAAGTACAAGCAGTTGTCTCACAACCGGGGCTAGAGACCCATCAGCAAGAAGCAGCTTTCTAAATGCATCTGGCCTGGCCTTACATCTGGATGCAACCTGGCCACTGAGCAGGAAGCACCAGAACTTCAATGACTTCCATACCTTTGTTTGCACCGCCCCGTTGGAAGCCAAAAGTGCTGTGTCAAACTGCAGCGGGAACCCAGCTGTGTTGGGATAGTGCAGAGGGGGTGCCGTGCCAGCGTTCACAAGGGCCTCTGCTGCAGCCTTGGCATCAGCCCTTGTCCACTGGACGGGAGCCACCATGACCTTGAGCACCACCCACCATACCTGTCATGTTTAGGGGATCGCCGGAAGCCCCAGCTTCCGGCCCTCAGCTGCTTGAACAGCTTGTGGCATCTGGCTAGAACCTGCTCTAAGACTCCAAACAGATCGGCACTGACCGCCAACCTCCAGGAGGATCCAGGGTAACATCCTTAGCCACCCAATCAATAGCAAAGATCCAGGTCATGGCAAAGACCAAAAGTCACCATCATCATCTTAATACCACGAGCAGCTTCTGCAGCGACTGTCTGTTGGTGCCGCCTGCGCACTCTAATAATCCAAGACAAGCCAAGCTGCACTACAAACCAAGAAACCGAGATGTCGTCCTCACAGGACAGCAGTTATGGCCCACAAAACAAAACGGATACTGACATGGCTGCAGGAAGTTTGGAACACATGCGAAACTCGTCATCTGGCGCATGTCGGTCGAGCTACAGCGCCCTTCGTATTTCAACCGGCTTGTTGTAGCCAGGCACTTAGTGTTCCCCTCTTCCCCTGCAGCACGCAGCTACAATAGCCTTTTGCAGGAACTCATCCCATGGTGTTCTTTCTCTGAGGGTTTCTGCAGTCAGGTCAGGCTGGCCTCCAAGCGTAGCAGCAGCAAGAGCTGGAACAGGAGGAGTAGCCCGGAAAAGACGAAGCCTTCGAAGCGGAGCCAGTGGTGCTCCTGCACAGAGGGGCTTCGGCGCTCGCACTCGGACTCAAGCTCGGCACACACTTGGGCTCTGGACGATTGAACGACTCGTGAAACACGGAGAGAATAACACATGCCGACAGTATGATGTATATGCAGCGAAGATGCTACAAAAACAAGCACCTCGGTAACATCACGCAGTCATGAAGCTACATGCAAACACAACAAAATCAGAACCTGCACATACGTCTACTGCTTACTGCTAACCTGGGCCTGTTCTGCTCGGGGGTTTGGGATCTTTAGAGATCCCTGTTTTCGACACATTTAGACACCACGGAAAACCATGGTGACTCAGAAGATATGAAGTAAACTGCCGGTCCCCTAGAAAGCATGTATACGGTTTGTCGCGAAATCACGCACAGTGCTGCGTTCAACGCGCTCTCGTAGAGAAGCTGCTTCCCCCGGCTAGTAGTACCTTCTTCTGCTGCGTGAACTTCGTGCGCTCGTCCTCGCCCCACTCCTGCCCATGAACAGAAGCTCATGCTACTGCATTTTTCGATGCGCTGGACTGCGGAGACGTTGTTCCTCCTCGTCACCCTGCGGTGGCTCCGGCACCACGCACTGTTGAAGGAAACTTAGCTTCCCCGAGTATCCGACGCTCATCGTTGGGAACACGTTTGCAGTCGGTAGCTCGGTCGCACGACATGCTGAGCCGCTGACCAGATGGGCAACTGAAGCAGCCTGTCAGCAAACCAGAGTGTAGCCATCTGTCTGCGGTACTCATCAAACGGAGCTGACGCCTTCTTTTTAATGACACTGACGCAAACTGTTGAGGTAAGTTGCCACACGGGGATCAGGACAATGGCCCAATGAAATCCAGCAGTGCCGTCCCACTTCAATGTGGTGAGCACGAAGGGCAGCATGAAGAACATCCTGGGCGGAGCTCTACGGGGGAATTAGTCCTTTGGAAAGGCGGCGACTTTCCCCCACAATCTGAAACAATATGCTGTAAGCCTGTAACAACTGAACCATAATGGCGGACCAAAGTGCGCAACAAGCACGACCAGCAGTGCCAGAACTTGTCCTGAGTCTCAACAGGTCCGTGAGCTTCAGGGTGCCACGACACATTGAATGATGGAACAAAGAGCATCTTACGCAATGCCATCTTCAATGGCACAGTGTCCAGCAAACACCGAAAGCCGAAACCTGGAACTTAGCTTCGGAGCAGCCTGCAGGCCCAACTTGTTCTGGCAGATGAGATTTGTAGGGTCCCAAGTAGTGATTCTGGAGACTTGCCTACTTTCATACTTAACTGTGGAAGCACACCGCCCAACAAAGCTAACCTTCTGACCTCAGCCCTTCATTTTTGGCCTCGGGTCGTTTGCCTGACGACAGGCTCAGGAGCCACTGGATGGGCGAGAAAAACCTCAGGCAATGACTTCTGATTTGCCATATGCCTAAAAACCTCTTGCGGGGCTTTCTGCCAACGGAATAGAGCGCCCTGACTCCCTGACTACTGTTCATTGACAAACCTGCCAAATTGTCCAGGTTCAGGATTGAGAAGGTGCAGGAGTATAGGACGCCTTGCTCATCAAGACTTTCCGACCGAGCTGCCCGTTTGCCTCCATCTGCCTGGCCATCTCCAGCTGCCGCAGGCCTTCCTGATATACTACTAATACTAGCACTGTTTCTGCTCTACTACTACTACTACTACTACTACTACTACTACTACTACTACTACTACTACACCTCGTATCAATGGTACCAAGCAGTCATCTCATGCAGCAAAAGGAACTCACATCTGAAGCTCGGAGGCCCTGCTACAACACCATGCTGCTAGATGGGCTCCTTTGCTGCAGGTAGTTGGAAGACTTCGATCCCTCACGCGCCTTCCCATGCTGATCGTAGACTGTCCTCTTCTCAGGGTCGGTGAGAACCTGAACACTCGACCACGCGTTTGGTTGTTGCCATTTCTGCAGCGCTTTTCGTGGCGGTGAACTGCTCAACACAACCGAGGCCCTGGCATCGTAGGCGCCTTTCCTCGGAAAGGTGGGAGGCTCAAAAGCTGCGGCTATCAAGTCAACTTGGAGTGGTGCCGCGAACACGAGCTCCAGTCCAACTGTGTGAGTGTACCAGCCGCTTAACCACGGCCCAGCCTGGGAATTGCCTCAGAGATTAACTGGCCTGGGGAATGTGGTGAAATCGGCACTTGCTTGTCCGGACAAATCTGTGTCCGAATCCCCCGTCCAAGATCAGAACAAATGGTCGTCAGGTGCAAACAAGGGGCATCGCTTTGAAGTCCTCCTCGTTGCCGCCCTTGTCTGGATGCAATTCCAGCGCCCGGCGTTTGTAGGCACCCCCTGGGGGAGGAATCCGGATGAACACGAAACAACAAGAGCTCGGAGCTCTCCTCGCAAGCGCCTCGAAAGACTTCTTAGGTCTGGATCCATCTAGTCAGGCCGTGACAACATGGGGGGCACTGTGTCTGCATTCCCTTGTGACTTCGCTCCCGTCATTGTAATCCTTGCAGCTTTTGCCGCGAGAGCTCTGAGTATATACTCCTTCCTGCAACTCTCGTGGCATCGCATCCCAGGCGCTGAGAACATCTTCGGTTGCGTCGGGCTCCACCTTCAGCAAATCCTCAGATTCTTGCGCATGAACCTGGCCAGTGACTAGTGCCAACAGACGGCGCCATGCAGAATCACCTGCAAGCTGCTTCAGTCGCTAAGCTGTTGGCCGTGGAACTCTAGATTCTGCGCCGACAAGCTCTCCAAAAACCATCACCCCGTCGAACTAATGAACCTCCGGCGTCGTCCTTCTTGCATCTTCAGCTTGCTAGGCGTTCGAGCCGTGGCCCAGAAATCAAGACGAAACATCACAACTTAGAGGCGTCGTGTGTGTCGGGTTCCCTGTTGCTGGGCAAGAAGCATACAGCTCCCGGTCTTGCGCAGGCATCGGCATTGATTCCCCGATGTCAAGGTGAACGTCGCCAGGGCCCCTCAGGTGGCTCGGGGGACAGGACCACCACAGCTGCTGTAACCCTAGTGCCTCTGCCCCCCAGCAACCCGAGAACATACAAACTGAAACAAGCGATCGGCGAAGGGTGCCGCAAGCCCGTCAAAATCAATCCAGGAAAACACGAATAGGTCAGGCTCTCTTGTATATTATGCAGTGATGGAGTCAAGATTATTGTAACGTAGCCGTTTGGCTGCTGAAGCAGCGGCTCTGCAGCTTTCTCCTCCGTCGGTGCAGCTTCGGGTCCTCAGCTACGCAGGTCTTGAGGACGCGGCTTGTGCAGCGTTGACTGGTGGTCTGAGCTAGTATGCAGGATGGCCACAACCGAAGAAATGCCCAAGGATCTGGTGTAAGGGGGTTGGTCGGGTTCTGAATCCCGTCAAGGCATGACTGGTAGCTGCTGGTAGCTTCGTAGCTTCTCTTTAGTTTCTCCGGTGTTTGCACCCAAAACTCAGCCGAAATACCTTATAGGTTCCCTGGATTGGCATCCGTTCAAACCTTGTTAGTGTTCAAGAGCGGCATCGCAGAGACATAGCAAATTTGACCGCGAACGCTGGCTGTCTCTCATGCAGGCCACTTTGAGCTCTGCAGGCTACACTACGTTCGGGTTGATGTCTAGATCTGCTGGGGCGGCTTCCATGAACATTGCCAGGAGTTGCGACGCGATGGCGCTGAGAATCACACGCTGTTTGCGCCGCTCCTCTGCCAGAACGCGCTGCAAGTGGGATTTGAGGCGGAAGCGCTGCACCAGCGCGGCCAGTTGCGGCTTGCTCAACGGCTGGCAGAGCTGTAAGAGCAGCCGCAGGAGAGTTTGCCGTGCTCGCACAGAATTGTCAGCGAGAGCACCGGGCTGTGCGGAGACAAGTCGGCGTACACCATTGAGGCTCGACTCCTCCAAAGCAGCTCTTCCCAGTCCAGGGTTGCCGAAGAAGTCGTCAGAGTTGAACCGCGCGCTGCTGGCCGCTCTGCTCGCATCGGGACTGTCGCTGCCTTCGCCCTCCAACCTGGAGAATGGACGCTTCTGCCACAAAAACAAGCCCAAACATGGCATTGCCCTGTAAATGACCCTGAACCCGCTCAGCCCTGGGTCTGAGCCTCCGGAGAAGCTCCGCCAGAAACTGGTCGCTATTCGCGAGCGCAGCGTTGGTCTCTGAGGAGATTCTCACCAACTTCACCAAGGGGTCCAGGATCTTCAGGAACACATCCTTGTCCTCACTCCGGAACCTGCAACATTTTTCTCGGAATCCCTGCCCCGAACAATGAGAGACTTCAACTGGGTGACTCGAGGCGTTTTGCCGGGAGGCAGTGCAAACAGGCGCATGAGGAAGTCGGGGCCCTTTAGCAGCTTGCCCTCCAGGCGCTCGCACCAGTTTGCCTTGTGCTCCTTCACTCCAAACCAACCAACTAATGCCTCAAGTGCCGGGACTTGCGTCTCAGGCACGGCGAGGCTTCGAACGAGGAAAGGCCCACCGTCCTCCGTCCACAAGGACTTCCGTGTGGCCAGAGAAGCACAAGCCATGTCACAGATCATCACAAAAGCATACTCCTGCAAAGGATGACCTCTTTCGACCAAAGCTTGCAGCTTTGGAATGGCACCCGCTAAGGCGGCCTGCTCTTGCCTTGGGCGAGAGAGTTTGCAAAGGTTCGAGAGTGCTAGCAAGCACTGGCTACACGCATCTTGGGCTTTCTCGTTCTCGAGGTCCTTTTCCGTGCCGTCCCAAGTCCCCTTCTCGAAGATACTGTGCAACTTCATGTGGTAGACCAGAACGGGGACGAGCCCAACATTCTCCATCATGTTGAGGACGGACGGCTCTTGAGAAAGGTGCTTGAAGATCCTACAGACTTCGGCCGCGAGAGGAGGCGGCAAGTACTCAAGCGAAGCAATAAGCCCCTCCAGCACTGGCGCTTTGGCCATGTAGGCCTTGACCACAGAATCCCCGGTCTTGGCGAAAAAGCCAAGGATTCTGATAACCTCTTGAAGGTAGTGAGCGGCCTTTTCCTGGAATCACAAAGACGAGAGAAACAGCACATGAAAGACTACGATGCTCGACCTTATATTAAAGCTCTGCCGAGCTCCTGGATGTCTGTGGCCAGGTTGTCGATCAAAAGGACAAGGTGCCCACAAAGGCCACGCTTCGCAAGGATCCGGCAGAGATCTCGGCTGTGGCTGCTCTTCTTGTTCTTGACCGTATTCACTGCATCCAGTGCGTTCCAGACCAAGTCCCGATTCTGGTAGTAGTCGTAGGAGATGAGATCGACAATGGCCTCCAGTCCACCGCAGGCGATGAGCATCTGGAGGCTACTGGAGCCCGAGTTGCAGAGCCGGGAAATGAAGGTGCCGGCCTCTACCCGCAAGTCGCGGGCAAACTCGGATCCAGCAAACTTGATAACCCCTGGGATCAAGCCGACCATGCTGAAGAGCTCCTGGAAGTCATGATTCCATTCTGCAACAATCTGGTTCACCACTTTCAAGACCTGCCGGAGCAGCATCGGGTCTGTGACTTGAAGCATTTCCACGATGGGAACCACCCCATGCTCGATGATCAACTGCTGGATGCTGTCTTTGCTGCTGCTGCCCTGCAAGGGAAAACAAGTCCGTCCAGCAACTGCTTTCCTACAAACAAATGCATGTGCCCTTGGCCCTGATGCCCGCCTGTTGCATGCCCTGCTGCAAGAGTTCTGTGAGCCGCTTGCACACCCGAACAAGCACTCCCGACTCCTCCAGAAACAAATGCATCGAACGCCGTACAGACAAGCTTTCCCTGCTTCTGTAAAGAGCTAGTGCTAGGCAGCTGGAAAAAACAAAAAAATCAAGCTCAGGCTTCATTCATATTTGGGATTTTGAGACATCCAAACTTGGCGTCTAAGATTCCGAAATTTGCAACTTACACGAAGAGGACTCCATAGGCCCCACACCAGAAGGTCCTGAAATCGTCACAGCCACCCACCTCCATCTGCAAACTTTAGAAACGGTCCTCGAAAGGCCGAATGCTGGAAAGGAGGCTCTTGATCTCTGCAGCCGCCCGCTGTCGTTCCCGGTTCTCCTCTGATTGCAACGACTACAAAGCAGCACAGCTGCTCATGGACAACCGCAGGGAAAACAGAGTTGATCTGTACTTCGTGAAACTGCTACAGCACAAGGTCATGCGTCTTGTCGAGAACACTCCGCCCGACCTGAACTCGCAAAACCTTCCCCGTCCTTGGAGTCGTCTTGGATCACGTCCTTGGCCCGCAGCTGCCCGCTGGGAGGTCGGTTCGGCCGCCTTCGCAAGGAGTCGGTCTGCCTGGATCCGGATCCGGCCTCCGCCTGGCGAAGAGAGCCCTGGGGGGTACATTATGCTAGAATTGTAATAAGGAACCCCCAAAAGCCTGTTCTACTACTTTCCGCCTTAGCCTCAGGTATTCCGAGGACCGAGCCCCCGACGCACGGCCCAGTATCAACGGAGGACCGGCTACAGTAGTCGCTGCGGCTTCGGCTCGGGACTGGCTAGGACCGCCTTGTGGCAAAGCCTCGTGATAGTAAACTTCGGTCGGGAGCCGAGGATCCGGATACCAGGGTGCCGCATCGCTCGTGATAGCTTGTGTCAGGGAAGGCTCAGGAGAATCAAAGATAATTTCATTTTCATCCCCTCAGCTCGAGGTCTCAGCCCTGGCCTGGACGGAGGGCTTGGCTTCGCAGTACTCCTTGTAGTAATCCAGGAAGGCAAAATGATACCCTCGCAGCTCCTCGGAGTTGACCTGAAGTGAGAGGCGACTTCTGGGAAAAAGGGTGGGCTGATGGGTTTGGCACCGGAAGCTTACTGTACGGAAATGTACACCTTGAAAACCCGTCCGCCTCCTGCGCCTCACCTTTGGAGGCTTCAGGTATGCTCCCCTCCGAGACGGACTCTAAAAGCTTCCTGGAAGGATACTCGTCGAGGTTGGTCCCTGCATCCGCTCCCTCCTCAATTGGGTACTTCACCGTGCCCTGCTTGGAGGATCGCGAACTTGACTTCTCGCTGGAAGCCTTGTCCAGGCTTCGCACCTCGAGCTCATGCGAGTCATGCAGGCTGGGCAGTCCCAAAGCCTCCATGCCGGGACGCTGCTGCGTCACTAGCGTGTCCCGGATCAAGGTGGTGAATGCTTCCATCTCCTCAGCTCCAGACTCACCGCTGTCCTCCTCCTCATCCTCCACCCTCCTCTGTGGCGACTCCTTCTGTGTCACCTTCGGGGTAAGCATTTGGCGCGTGAACTCCAGCGTATGTTTCTTGTTTGCTTGAATCCAGTGGTCCTCGAGGAGGGTTGCAGCTCCAGCACGGTGCAACGGATTCTTCTCGTAGCACCGCAACAGGAATGCGTCGAGAGCTTCAGAAAAGCCCTCTGGCAGGGGCGGGTGATTGTCGGACACAATGCGGTACAGAGCCGACATTTGCGGCAAATCTGCATATGGGGGCTTCTCCGTGATCATCTCCACCACTGTCGACCCCACGCTCCAGATGTCGCTAGCAGGTGTGGGTGGGCTCATCTCAACCGTCTCCGGCGCCATCCAGTACGGTGTGCCGACAACGCGCCGCTTTGAGCTGTCGATCTCGCTTAGCTTCGTTGCCACCCCGAAGTCGGCCAACTTGATGGTCCCAGTCTTCGTGGTGAGGACATTCGCACCTTTTATGTCTCGGTGAATAACGCCTTGGGAGTGCAAGAACTTCAACCCTTTCAGAATCTGCAGCGTGTAGATCGCGCACAGAGACTCTGGGAAAGCTCCGAACTTCTTTATGATGGCTGCGATGGATCCACCCTCCACAAACTCGAGGACAATGTTCAAGTGAGTCTCAGTCCGGATGGAGTCAATGTACTTCACGATGTTCTTGTGCTTCAGCTTGGACAGCAAATTAATCTCTACCTGAAGCAGTAGGGACGCTTGTCTTTCAATCTCTCTTGTGAGGTCTCGTCCATTTTGACTCTATGCTTACAAAGTCTGACGAGCACCAGTCTTATGCCTTTGTATGTGCTGCGTCTCTTATTTCCTCTAGATTTGCCACTACGAAATTTCACCGCTTCTCTATGATTCTACATCGGGGCCAAGTAGAAGGGCACACGGTCGGAGGGAGAGGGCGTCTGCAGACACACCCTGTTCTTGTATTGAACATGTAAAATGTTAATGTATGGGAATTTGCCACTACTTTACGATTTCGTGTGCTCTGTGCGATTGTGCACCATAAAAGCAAGATAACTTTTCTCACCTTCCAGTTTCTCAGGCCTTCTAGACAAGCCCTCTCCCTACACCGTGTGCCAACAACTTGAAAAAATTCAGTTCAATCAGATGTGTTTACATATAACTAACTGTTTGAAACTATGGCCTCTGTCGCACGATCCAAACTCGTAACACTCGTACGCCATTTTTTACCGCATTGCAATGCCTCCTGGTCAGGCTTCTCACCCGCGCGCCCCAAGCACATAATTCTTCGCCAACCGACAACCAAAAGCTACCATGTTGCGTCACTTTATCGTGCTATGGTGCCTCTTTGAACCCAAACCCTAATCGCAAACGCAAATGATATCATCCAAGGATGCCTCTATTTGGCTGATGTCTCCGCTGTGCAAGCCTCCCAAGCTCACCTGCTTAATGGCCACAAACAAGGCCCTCTGCTGGTCCATGGCCTTGTACACCTCAGCAAGGGAGACGGGCCAATGGTTCTGGGTTTGGGCTTTGAATGGCTTTGAGCTTGCTACACTAAAGTACAACAACGGACCAAACCTTCGCCTACAGCCTTTCCGGTGTCTTCGTCTCAAGAAGGCAATAACCACTCGGCTGCGTCGTTTGCCTTCCTGTCACTGTACCTTTCCGCAGTTGCGGACGTCGTCAAACACTCTTAGCATCGTACACTCAATCAATATTGAACTGCCGAAAGTTGATTGTTGGCTGTGTCACAGGGTCTACGACCGTGAAGTAGATTGGTTGCGCTCCTCCAAGCTTGGGACCGTTTTGGTTGGGAACTGCCCGAGAGTTTGGAGGATGTGTTTGAACGTTTTGGGTCTATCAGAGCGCGAGGCCACACCTCTCAATGTATCCTATCTTCAGCATGCAGGTGCCCATTCCTGTTGTCCGGCCGACCCCCGGCTGTCTTTCAGTTTCGTGTCGGAGATCTGCCTGCCTCACCTGCCGTGCACTTCATGATCCGACTTGTCTCGTGAGGCGAAACCTCATCTCTACTGCCTGGCAAAGCTATGTCTTTCCGACCTGTATCCTGGGGTGTCCTGGTGGTTGCGACGTGCTTGCGGAATTCAGACAATTTTTGGCCCAGATGAGCTCACTGTTTTGGAATTTGCAGTGAATCGCGCTTTTGGCCGAACCGGGAGTGTGATAGTAATCGGACATGAAAACAAAACTAGTAACTAGTAACTATACTCCGTGCTCCAGCCAGAGCATGGAATATTCCCCGTGTGTCAAACACCTCGTGCGCACGCTAACGAGTCCTTTTCACTCCGAACGTAAAGACCCACAGAGTACCACTCTGTTTGGGGAACCAGGCCCCTCTCAAAGCACAGGCCCCTGGACTGACAAAGCCGCCTCGAAGCGAAGAAGAAGCTTTCCTTCATGAGATCTAGTCACTAGTCCCTAACGACTCGGTTCATACTCATATATCGAAGTCACACCTCCCTTTATCCTCTCATCTTCCCCAACCTGTCTCATAAAACGATACCCCGTGAAAGATCTCAAATGATTGTCCACAAGTCGCCAACTTGCCGTTCAACCTATCCTGCAACGGATAAGGAAGCCAACAAAAGCAAGGACATCGGAAACGGTGACCGCAAAAAACAATCAACATCATCAATGCAGAACTGACAACGCGCTTCTGAAATGTGGGTTGGCACAGGGTTGGACCGAGTTGCGCAACCAAAGCCACCCTTGCCGATGGTGCCCCCGACGGAGTATGGCCCAATCAATGTTTTGGTGTTTGCCATGCCCTTGGGAAGGGCTCCAGTGCTTCATTTCTCTCACAAGCAAAACAACTAAAACGCAATCTGATGCAGTCTAGGATGGCCTTCATGCTTCGGCGCTCGGAGGACGCCATGTTGGCGACCTCCCCAAGCTTGCCGGGTGTCTACATCATCGGCTCGTTCTATGCAGTAAATGTGGGTTCCAAACCAAGGCTTTGGAGTGCCTGTGTTTCTGAGGACTGTCTCTGCCACGGCTGCTTGCATCAGGACTCGCTTCTTACGTCTCCGCCAGGATCTGTGCAGTAGTTGTTGATGTCTGTGGGCTATGCATCACTGATCTTGCAGGGCATGTTTCGTAGGATTTCTGCATACGAGCCGAAATTCAAGGCACGGATCTCGCAGCACGCATCCCGCCCGAACGCAACATACTCCCTTGTTTTTGGAATACATTGAATATATCCATTGGCTCAAGTTCCCTGGTATGTTAGACGAGGAAATAAAATTCACAACGACGGTGCAAGTCGGCTGATATCTTTCCGCGAAGCTGCTTTCCCCTGCTCTACTCTGGAAACGGCACGAGCCAATCCCGCGCGCCCGTTGAACTTTAGCAGAGGTGCTGTCTGGCGAAAGGTCCGGCACCGGGCTGGACGACTTCTGGCGAGGAAACCGACAACTTCACCCCCTCCCTTCGATTACGTATTGTGTTTTGAAATACCAGTCATAATGTCTGTTTGCTTACATACATGCGGCGTGCGCACAAAAACACCTGTGTATCCATCCATCTATCGATCTACGTAGCTGTCCGTCTGCCCGTCCGCATGTCCTTATCTCTCTACCGACCTACCGACCTATCCATCTGCCTACTTGTCTAGCTACCCAGCTCTGTCTGTGTGTTTGTCTTTCTACCCATCTACCTCTCTACCTGCCTGGCCTATCTATCTATCTATCTATCTGCGTATGTGCATGCGCGCGTATATGGGTGGATCCATGTGGGTGTCCATGCACAGGAGCACGGGTCTACACTAGCTATGAGGACCGCCAACCAAGGCACACCCCCAGCATGCCATGGAATGGAATGACGCAGGGTAAACATACGTAGCCCATGAATGTCGCACTCTGGCCACACCTCAGCATCACAAACAAAGCCAACATCACCCTGTCTAGCTGCAGCTCCTCCCAGGGTGCATCCGTGCCCTTGGACGTATCTGGGACATCACCTGGTCAGCTGCATTGTATGGCAGGGTTTCTTCTTGCCAGTGAGAAGGTGAGAAGCTAACAAACTGACACTTGTCGTCCGAAGTTCAGGTGGGAGGAAGAACGCGATACTCCATCTACCTGGTAGATTCTACCACAGATTTCAGCCAATCTCACACTGTGACATGTGAGGCAGGAGAGACGGGCTTCGTGTTTTTGAGCACCATCCGCGCGAATGAGCCTCCCGGAGACGGTATGGCGGCAGCTGGCGCTGGAGGTTCCTACTTTGCTTTGGTTCGTGGCAGTTCGTCGGTAAGAGACATCGCACGATAGAACGTAATATCACACAATTAGTAAGCTGCTCGTAACTGATGTCTTCTCGACTCTCGCGGGCTTCACTACATGACCGTACTATCAGCTTACATAGAGCCGAAACCCAACCCCGGTAAGCGGAGTACGAAACGCCTAGGGAATCCTTTGCAACTGCAGCTCCTCTGAGGGTGCACCCATGCTCTTCTTCGACTCGTCCGAGTGATCACCTCGTCAGCTGCGTTGTGTCGGGAAAGCAGACTCACCCGAAACTGAACAACGGCACTGCAGAGCCTTCTGGGCCTCGGGTCCTCTTCCAAATCAATCACATGCAGGTACGTGCATGCGGAAGAACGACAAAGGCATTTCAGGATGCAGCTTACATCAGGCAGTGGGCGCTCTTCGTGTTCCCGTGCACGAAATAACCTCCCGAAACAGACGAGCCTCCCGGAAGCTGCATCTCTGCTGCCGATGGAAGCTCCTCCTCTGCTGCCTCCAGCTGCGCCTCGACGAGAATCATGCTCAGAAGTTTACAGCCGGGGCCGAGGTCAATGAAACACCGGAAGAGTGGGCGGGCTGTGTCATCTCACTCCCCTGGGCAAAGCACCTGCCTGCACCTCCTCGCCGCCGTGACCTTGTAAGAGCCGGTTGGATGCACACCATATCCTTTGGATGAAGATTAGCATTGCTACAAGGAGCCGTCGAGCAGCGGGGCTGTGGGCAGCACCACCGCAGCCTTCGAAGCTACTGGACATGGGTGCAGATTATACAGCTGGAACAGCTGGAACGGTCTCGATGAATGGTCCGCCAAGCCTGTGTCTCGGCAGTCTCGGCCGGGAAGACTCCCGTGGGATGAGATGGTGCGGAAGGCTCTAAGCCTTCCAGTCTTGGGGTGCTCAGGTGAGAACAGTCTCCCGTGCTGTCTGCGGCCCAGGTGCTGATGTCTGCAGCATCATCCGACCGCTCCTGGCGGCGATACAGCAGGGGATTGGGCTGCCTGCAAGCAATCTTCTTGACGACTGAGACACGAACCCAAGACACTGGTGGGCCCGGGAGCTGGGCGTCGACAGTCGGACCTCGTGGGAAAAGATATCAAGTCAGCTCCACACATCGACATATCAAGTTGTTCTGCAGTAGGAAGCTGCAGGGCCGGCGCCCACCATGTCTCGACTTGCCGGAAGGCTGCGGTGTTAACCAAGGTGCCCAGAGCCAGCTCGGAGTCCTCCGGGTCCTGCTTCTGATCTCCCAGCTGCTTTCCAGCTTCAGCTGGAGGTTGTCCTCCACAAGAAGTGCATGATGCTCCACGATGCCGCCCTCTCCGAACCCAGGCCTGGTTCAACATGCCCAGGAAAATCCTGCAGCTCTCTCCGGCTGTGTTCCTCGCTCTCTACCGTTGCCCCGTGTACTGCAGACCCTCCCCTCAGTAGAACTTGTCTGTGTTCCGAACGCGCCCCGAGTGAATGCTTTGAGCCCTTGTGGTGGTGCTGACACACAGAGCACCGATTTCCTGCGTGGCTGGGATTGCATCACCTCGGTGCACGTTATTGAAGCACACAAAGGCCGTGTTCGAATTACGCGTTGCAGTGCTGTGGAAATGGAGATATGGTGAGATACAGAATCCGTCTCTCGGTTGCTGCTGCATCCAGAGGATTCAAGGGCAACTGCAAGACTAACGTAGGCTCGCGTAGACCTCTTTGACCTTTCGTTAGTCTTCCTGTTCCAGGCACTCTATGCCATGCTTCGCTTTGTCACTGGTGCAGCAAAGCCACCGTCCATGAACTTCAATCGTTGCCGTCGGCAGGAGCACACACATGCACGAAGGCTGCATGTGCAACTTTGTCGTGCTAATTTCCCTTGCAGGGTCCGTGTGACTTCAACATGGGTGTGTCGTGGGCTATGAGGTTTCTTCGACAAAGGCTCCAGCTGAACAGAATCCGTTGCCAAACCTACTGACAGTAGGTCATCCGACTGTTGCCTGTCGGGTTGCCCAAATTTTGCATGGACGTGAAACTAAACTGGGCCTTCGCAACGCTACCCAGATCCAGTCAGCTGTCAAGCTCGGAGCAGCACAAACATGTAAAAACGACTGGCGATGTCAGAAACAATGAGAACAGCATGAACAGTAGCAACACCAGCAGTAGTTAATGACATGTCAAGGAATTTTCTGCCTGTTACCAGGGTCCGAACCCGAAAGTGCCGGATGACCTGATGCAAGGCACCAGACAACAGCGAATGAGGACCCAAGCGCAGTCAGAGGCACTGGAAGGCCTTGTGCCAGCGAACAATGGGTTGGGTGTTGTGCGGCTGAATAGAAACAGTTTGCAGGTCAAGGGGCAGGTGCTAGCAAAGGATCGGCAGCCCACTCCTACAGGCAAAGGCAACTCGAGCTCAGCGGAGAGGCTATCCGCTATCCTGCCTGGGGTTGAAGCATGTACGCAGCAAGTCGATACTGCAACGAGGTCTACGACGACGGCCACTCGTACGTTTGCTTCCCCCGACTCCTACTCCTTCTATACTGCTGCTGCCGCTTTCCATAGACAAGCTCAAACTGATTGGATCCGAACTGCTATCGGCAAGATCAAGATAGCTTCCTGGAGCAGGTCTTGGAGACTTGGCAGCTCACACCCTATGGCTGTAAAAATCTATCGGATTATCGTTGTTTGGGAAGCTGCTAAGTACTTATGATTATGATTTTCTCTGGCGGCGTAAAGAAGAGGGGAACTTCAGTTGTGTCTGCTCTGCAGCCGCGTCCTGCTGAGTGAGGCGGCGCCCCAAAGCATCCTTCACGCGGGATATTTTGGGGATTCAAGGTTTGAGTCTACAAGAAGGAGCATCGGATCCGTTGTGTGCGACGTCGAATTCTATTTTCAACTCTGCATCGAGTCTTGACAAATGTGACTAACGCTACAAGGACGTGTCTGTCTCCTTCACGGCTCAAACTACAAAGGCCTAGGATCCACTCATGATGCCCAAGTCTGCCACTTCCGAACAACACCAAGACACGAAGATTTGGCAAAAACGTTGCTTGTATATAGGTTCGGATGCAACTTGAGAGCTGGTCACGAAAGCTAGAAGCACGAGGTCCGGTGCTGAGCTCTGCAAAGCGATGTGCACGACAGTAGCGGAGGAAAAGTTTGGGCCGGTGAAGGGTGCAGGCGTTGCTCGTTCATTTAACTCTTGAGAAAGTAATGTGCGAACGACAACTAGAGGTAACTCTGGAGAGAAGACCGCACTTCAGTCGCCGAACGTCAGACACAAACAAAACCAAGGGACCTTGAGGAGGGGGGGGGAGGGGGGGACCTCATGATAGGGGGGGGGGCCCCCCCCCCCTCCACCTTATCCCAGGCACAACCACCTTAAAGGGGGAGGGAAGCGCACCTTATCAGTGGAAAACGCACAATGACAAGGTGAAGGGGGGGGGGGGCCCCCCCCCCCTACCCCCCACCTTAACTCTTGGACGTCCCACCTGATAAGGTGCAAACCCTGTTTTTTCCCTAGTGCCTTAATACAAGTGAATTGCTAAAGGGCAACTCCCGCGAGCTCCACAGAGCTAGCTTTCGTGACATGAGCATGCATCCAGTCAAAATCCTTGAACAGCACTGCCGTCCGTTGTACAGGTTCCAAGATTAGCATCCGACTGCAAAAGGAGGGTTCATTGTAGAGCACCTCGCAATCACAATCAGGTGAACTGCTTATGAGGTCTTATGAGCAAAGTTATGCGCCGCTGTCGCCTCGCAAACCTGATGATAAGAAGCAAAGCATGCAGATCCCAATTGTGTGCACATGCTCACGGCATCGGTGCTGGCCCTCAAACTGATCTGTCGCCGGCGGCCTTCGTCTGCACCGGGCGTTTCCAGGGGGAAAGGCCAGCGACTGCAGAGCGGAAGCACAGCGTCCTCCGAATTCCCGACTATGCTGACTAAAGGCGCCCACGGCTACGACCGGCCCTTGTCCTGACTCCAGGAAGTCTCTCCTGAAGCGGCGAAAGAGGCAGCATGAGGCAGCAAACTTGCGGTTGCAAGTGATGCGAACTGCACCCATAAGAGCTCCTGTATGCTTCCCTTCTCCAGCGGTGCCCAGTCAGAGAGCAGCGGCCACAACTGGCTGGTGAATCTTGCCTGAGCCGCTGGTGCTACGTCTAGTGTGAATTCGACTTGCAGCCTCGGAGTAATGGTGCGTGGGTCGTACTCTCAAGGTTTCACTCGCTGCTTCTCCGGTTCGAGGGGACAGGAGAGACTCTGCCCTCCTTGTCCTTGGACTGCAATATATATATATATATATATTATACATCTTCTATTCTATATTGCATATAACTATATATATACACATACATATTGAAGCCAAGCTGACATTTGGTTTCCTCCGCGAGCAGCAGTTCTAGTGGAACACTGTACAGTTTTAGGATACGGCTGCACGACCCATCGTTTCTCCAGGGCGGAGCCATGTTTGGCTGTAGGCCAAGCTAGACAAAACCATGTTGCTTGCGAAAGCGACCATGTTAGACGGCTATGTACAGCATGCTAGGCCCATCCTATTTCCAGGACCAGCTGCACGAGAATAAATGCCCTGAGCTGTAAAGCCCCGCAGCTCAGAAGCTTCCACGGCAATCTCGGGTGTGCGCCATTTCGAAGAGCAGAACCAAAGCTCCCAAGGGCCCTGCGGTGAGTTCCAGGTCCAGCGGTCCCTTCACTTCTGCCGCATCGTGGCGTTGAAGGCTGTGCTTCTGGCATCGGATCTCCCCCTCCACGCAGAGCATGTAGGCCTGCCGGCCTTCAGTGATACTGAGGATCGGCGAGGTCTTGCCGGGCGAGATCTCTGTGCAAAAGACGTTGCAATCCTGGTTGATCTTGATCTGCGTCGCAAGGGAGGACATCTCGTCAGAGACCATGTGCGCCCACCTGTCTCGACGGTCTGCAGCTGCCTCAGGGCCACCAAGACTAGAGCCGTAGTTGGGCTTCAGGCCTCGCTTTCGAGGCACAACCCAACACTGAATGAACCGCAGGGGCTGCTTGGCTAAGTTGTGCTCGGAGTGGTAGATTCCCGTCCCAGACGTCATGAACTGGATCGCGCCACGGCCTAAAGTCTCCTCGTTGCCCTTCGAGTCCTTGTGCGTCAGCTCTCCGTCCACTATGAAGGTCCTTGGCTGACTTCTGAACCCCTCCTAAAAGTTAAACTTGTAGCCTCCTTAAGGTAGGTCATATAGAAACCCCGAAAAATTGAAGTCCTAAGAGCCAACCAGAAGAACCCAGGGTCATGATCTCCATATCACGATGCGGGTGCTCACCAAATCCTCGCTCGCCCTGCACCAGGTCATCGTTCATCACCCGCAGGACACCAAAGCTGCTGGGCCCGTCATTGTACTCTGCGAAGTTGAAGTGGAATCTCGACTTCAGCCAGTTCTGGTTCGTCCAGCCCTGAGCTTTAGCATCTGACGGATTTCGTGGATTTCCAAACCAGCGAGGGTCGGGCTCGCTGGTGAAGAGGCGGCTGTCGGTGATCACGTTCACGGAGGCCATGGTGGAGCTAGAGCAACGGCCAGCGCAAGGGGAAGCCAGGGAGAGCTTGAGCTAAGATTTGGGGCTCTTTTGCGTGAACCGTGCTTCCAGAGCAATCATTGATCCACATGAGAGTCAGTAGAAAGCATGCTGCGAATAGTTAGCCGAAGCAAAGGACGGGACTCTTCAGAAAACTGGGTCGACTTCTCAGTCAAAAGCCAACTTCTCACATAACATTGTCAAAGGAAGAACAACAGCAAAACACACACACACAAGTAAGATGGTAACAGTTGTGGTAGCAGTAGTAGTAGTAGTAGTAGTAGTCGCCGTCGTCGTAGGTGGTATGTAGTAGTACGAGGAGGAGTAGGAGCAGCAGCAGGAGCAGCAGGAGCAGTAGCAGTAGCCGTATGAGGATTCGGAGCAAGAGCAGGTGTAGGGGTAGGACTCGCAGTCGTCGTCGTAGTGGTAGTGGTGGTGGTAGTAGTGGTGGTGGCAATGGTAGGAGCAGGAGGAGTGGCACCGATACAAAAGCAGCAGATGGTGCCGCCGTAGTGCACAGGAGCTGGAGATGTCTTGGAGGCAGTTCACAGAGTTTGGCACGAACCGCATGCAGAACTCCTCGGACGGGTCCAGAAGTTTGGCTTTGGTTTCATTACATGGTAGGCCTGTATCGGCCTGTCCAACAACCTCACCGGGGTTCCGACTACATGTTTCTATTCAGCAGCTTCCCTAAACCACTACACTCGTGCTGCCAGCTTCCTACTTCCTGCTACACACGTCTGTGACGCTCCCAGCAATCCTGCAGGGTTGCCGAGAAAATTAGGACCTCACAGTATTGAGGAGTTTAGCTTTTCTACAAGGCTCCACGGCGTCCCCCTGCAGTTCCAGGGAGCACTCATCCAGGAAGAAGAGGAGCCGCCGCCCAGAAGGCTCCTGAGCTGCCGCTGTTCATGGCTGGATTCCTGTTCAAGTTTCGGCTGCCGAGGTTCGAAAAGGTCCTCATGGGACATGATGAGAGCGTACAGGGCGAGG